GACGGCCATGGTATTTGGTATACAGCAGTTGTCTCATAAAGTTCACCTCTCATTTCCTCACACAAAAAAAAAATATTAAGAGTACATGTTCTCAAAGTCGAAACTTAACAAAATCAACCATTTTGATTGCCCCGTGGAGACTCAGCTTAGGTGAGGCTCTTTCTGCTTGGTGTTTACTTCTGTGAGTGCCCAGCCATGGACAACACAGAATGGCCTGGCGCCGCTGTCTTCATTCGGCAGGTTGTACTCGTCACTCTTCTAGCTCTGGCACTGGAAATCTCACCCAGGGAGAAGAGTAGTGTCCTAGTGTTTGCACAGCGCATGCACCTAGCTCTCAGGACTCCTGGCAGCTCACAGGGCCCCGACAGGCCTCTGCTTCCTCAGTGCATATCACTGACATAAATAACCAGTAGACACGTGCACCTCTGGATCCAGAAAGCGCAGCGTATCTCTGGCTTCACTTTTCTTTGGGGCAGCTGTGACAGGAAGGGAATGGCAGGAACACAGTTCCCAAAACACACTCCCCACCCCACCCTCCAGCATCCTCTAAGAAGGCATTTTCCAAATCAACAGGGACAGAAAGCAGCAATATTTGTGTGAAGGGCCTCTCGTTCATGACTGGAGGCATCTTCATCTAACTAGCTTCCTGCCCTATCAACATCTCCTAGCTTACCTCAGATGTGGAAATGTGCAAAAAATCTGAGTGGACTTCGTGGCAGAATTTGAATTCTATTCGTGAACTGAGGCAGAATCTGCCCAGATATTCCCAGGCATAAGGGAAGGGCAAAGGATACAGCATCTACCTCCCAAACCAGTACGGAGTTCAAGTCTTCCTTTTGCCAGCACTAGCTGCATGACCGGAGAAAAGTTACTCAACATCTAAATGCCTCCATTTCTCCATCTATAAAATGGGACAACAGTGCCTACCTATCATGTATTAAATAAACTAACACATAAAGAATGTGCAGAATGAGGCCTCCTGCATGACTCTGTTCGCTATTATTTTTACATGGGTGCTGAGGGATCTCCATATTTGGCCTTCTGAGCATGACAGTGCTGAATCAGACTTGAGAAGAGAGAGAATGCTGGAGATAGCAAGAAATTAGATGTTGATATCTGCTGGGTTACAGATGAGAGAATACACTTGGAACTGGGAGGAGAGAGAAATGCAGAGGGTGGGAATGCCCTGGGCTTTTGTGGTTTACTTATAGAGTGTCAAGGACTTCAAGTTTAAACCTTCTAACCTCTGACAGTTGCTACCCACCTAAAAGTCTATAAAAGTATTATTCCCCCCTCCCCCATGGCTCAAAACTAATCATTAGAGTATCAACCGTTTGCTCCTTGCAAGGTGGCATTCTCACGATGATGTCAGTAAAGGTAGCTGAGTGTGTTTCAGGCCTTCCAGAAACCAGCTTCTGTAAGCTAAAGCTGGAACCCAACCCCCAGATGTTTACTCAAATACCTGGGTTGGATGTGCTGTTTTTATCTTTACTGAGCATCTTTTGGCAGCTACATAGTCTGGCTCATAAGATCATCATAACTAATTAAGAGTTTTAGACTAAATCTGAAGTTGAATGATTTCAAGGATCCTCTTCATGCAACTATTCAGGCTCTGAATTGCCACAATTATAAGGCTGCAAAGAAATGCAAAATCACCATAATAAGAAAATAGTAGCAAGGAACTGGCCACTTGAAAATTTAGCTCTTCCTCAGACCTCCTCCACCAGTGAGCTTAACCTCTGAGGCACTAACCACATCCCTCAGCCAATGTCTTGTCTGATGCACAAAATATCTCGGTTACAATGGAATAAATGACAAACTTACCCATGCATGTAACTGGCAAATGAAGGCTCTATTATTAACTAGAGCGAGGAAAAACTTGATAGGGGTAATGATATCACAGACACTCCAAACAGAAACAACTGGAATATTCATGCATTAAAAAGACACCAAGAAATACATGAAATCCTGGAATGCTTTATAGAAAGGGTTTCCCATGCGATTGACTCACCAAGTCAGGAAGTGAAGGGTATATGTTTATTGCTCTAGAATTTTGATAAGACAGCTATGCCAAAAATAAATGGAAATCTTGTTATTGTTGATTCTGAGAGTTTTATTCAGTCCAAATTTTTGCCAAATATGTGAGTTATGCCGGTATTATTTTCATTTTTCAATATTAAGTCCCCTCAAACCCACTGCACAGGAAAAAGACTGTAAGGGATTTTGGATTCTAAATGGCGTCTTTCTGAATCCAACTGTCTGGAACTCATGAGCCTAGTAAAGAAAAAGCCTCTTAGGGTCTGCTCGGTGAGGGGGCCTGGCCTCCTCCAGGACGCAGTAGCCCCGCCTCCTCGCTGGCTATTCCCTCCCCCAACCCCCGCAGCGAGAGGAGGAGCGGCACCCTTGACAAAAGAGGTTTTAGCAAAGACAGTAGTAAAGCTTAACTGCAAGCCAGGTAGATTTCTGCCCCGTGCACACAGGGAATTGTGACCTAAGACGGATGTGCTGGTAGAAGCAGGAAGAGCTGTGCCAGCCACAGTGGGGTCAGGGGTCGAGTCTCCATCAGAGGCTCTAATTAGCCCTAATGGCATTTCTTCTAAAGTGCTGAACAACTGCAGCCTGGACTCTTGCTTTAAAGGTGACAGATTCTTGCCTGCCAGCAGTTAAGTTGGAGGCTTTTAAATGGCAGAGAAACACTTAAAGAAATGCTCAACGCCCTTAGTCATCAGGGAAATGCAAATCAAAATGACCCTGAGATTTCACCTTACACCCATCAGAATGGCTAAGATCAAAAACTCAAGTGACAACACATGCTGGAGAGGATGTGGAGAAAGGGGAACCCTCCTCCACTGCTGGTGGGAATGTAAACTGGTACAACCACTCTGGAAATCTATCTGGTGCTTTCTCAGACAATTAGGAAAAGCGCTTCCTCATGATCAGTTATATTACTCCTAGGCATATATCCAAAACATGCTCAAGTACACAACAAGAACATTTGCTTAACCATGTTCGTAGCAGCTTTATTTGTAATGGCCAGAATGTAGAAACAACCCAGATGTCCCTCAACTGAGGAATGGATACAGAAATTGTGGTACATTTACACAATGGAATACTACTCAGCAATTAAGAACAAGGAAATCATGAAATTTGCAGGTAAATGGTGGGAACTAGAAAAGATCATCCTGAGTGAGGTATCCCGGAAGCAGAAAGAGACACATAGTATATACTCACTTATAAGTGGATATTATACATATAATATAGGATAATCATACTAAAATGTATACACCTAAAGAAGCTAAGCAAGGAGGACCCTGGGTAAGATGCTCAATCTGCATTCAGGAAGGCAAATGGAATGGACATCAGAAGAGAGTGAAAACAAGGAACAAGACAGAAGGCTACCACAGAGGGCCTCTGAAAGACTCTACCTAGCAAGGTATCAAAGCAGATGCTGAGACTCATAGCCAAATCTTGGACAGAGTGCTGGGAATCTTATGAAAGAAGAAGGAGATAGAAAGACCTGGAGGGGACAGGAGCTCCACAAGGAGAACAACAGAACCAAAAATTCTAGGCCCAGGGATCTTTTCTGAGACTGATACTCCAATCAAGGACCATGCATGGAAATAACCTAGAACCCCTGCACAGATGTAGCCCATAGCAGCTCAGTGTCCAAGTGGGTTCCCTAGTAATGAGAACAGGAGCTGTCTCTGGCATGAACTAAGTAGCTGGAGCTGGCTCTTTCATCACCTCTGCCCCTAAGGGGGGTGCAGCCTTGCCAGACCACAGAGGAAGACAATGCAGCCAGTCCTGATAAGACCTGATAGGCTAGGATCAGAGGGAAGGGGGGGAGGACCTCCCCTATCAGTGGACTAGGGGAGGGGCATAGGGGGAGAAGAGGGGGAGAAGAGAGGGAGAGCGGGATTGGAAGGGGAGGAGGGAGGGGACTACAGCTGGGATACAAAGTGAATAAATTGTAATAAAAAATTAAAAAAAGAAACATAGTTATTTAACACTGAGCTGGAATAAATGAAAATGTTCTTCCCTTTGCTTCAAAACAGCTCTTCTTTGGTTAGGTAAAAGTGAGAGATCAGAGCCCAGGGATGATGCCCACCTGAGGAACTCTGGGTAAAGTTACTTGACTTTCTCAAGATTTAAACTAGATAAATGCCATTACATATTCTGCTGGGCACTGAGAAGTCCCAAACTTGAAAAGACAAAATTCATATCTATAGTGGATCTGTAGTCAAAGACATTCTAGTGTATGGATGTGTGGAGCTGGGGGCGAGTGTGTGTCATCTGTGAGATAAATTATCTACAGTATAATACCAATGTCACAGTTGAGAAGTTAATGTTCTTTCACCCAGCCCAAACAGCTCAGATGGTGCAGCAGCTGAACATGAACTTGAAGAAAGGTAAGACTTTACGCCACACTTCCTTAGGTTACAGTAATACTGCTGATCTTCCTTTCCCCACACACTAATCTCACATCATTGCTTTTTCTCCTTGTAAAACAGAAAATCATTCCATTTATGCATTTATTCCATGCATACATGCACAAGCTAGAAGGTAACTTATGAACTTATGGGAGTTGTTCTCGTCTTCCCCCATACGGGACCAGGGACTTGAACTCAGGTGGTCAGGCTTGGCTGCAAGTGTCCTCACCACTGTGCTACCTCGACAGCCCTTATGTCTGTTTTTCTTACTTCCCTCCCATGTGACTTTTACAAAAGAGCCATGACACTGATTTTTCTTCTGTTTCCAGCAACAGTAGACAGTTGTCTCTCCATTTCTAACTTTTCTTGAAAGCCCTTCAGAGAACAGAGTTTACGCCAGTACCTATAAAATTTGCTTGGCAAATAGATGAACATTTTTTTCTTATTGGGATGTTTACCGCAGCTCTGACTATGGATGGTGTTTTGAAATCTGAAACTGAACGAGGGGGAAATGTGAAGAATTTTGACATGTGAAAAGGCCAATGAGTCTGGCCAGGCCTGGACACTCACCCTCTCACACAGCTCTTCAAATGTGCAGTCGGCAATGGTTCCACAGGCTTTATTCAGCCGCAGCTCTCTGCCTTGCACTTTTAGAATCCTTGGTCTAGTTACTATGGGAACATGAACAAAGACTCAATCTTGTCTGGATAATTACTATAAAATTCATCTCTTACAGATAGGAAATGCATAGCTTGATGAATAATAGCACATGATTCAACACATAAATTAGACAAAATGCTGATACAATGACTGCCACTTGAGTGTGGCATCAACCCATAGACAGCAATGGAACTTATTAATTGGTCAGTGGAGATTGGGCATTGTGTTCTAAATGTATTCTCTTTCAAGAGAAATTAACTTACGTACAATCATTTTGTTTCTGAGCCAGCTCATCAAACAACTTATCCATGACAGCCTCCGCATCAGCTTCACTTGTGCTACAGTGAAAAGAATAATAGAATATGAAATTAATAACACTTGAAGCCAACATCAAACAGCTGCCTGAGCCTGCTTAGCTTTTTGCCCGTAAAGAGGGAGAACGGGGTGTTATGCTCTAAATACAAACATTAGATTTAGAATACACTTAAAAGCAGAGAATATTAACTCTCAGGTAGATGATCCTGCCTTATTTGCATACATTGAAAGACTTCTGAGCTTCTAGATGTTTCCAGTAATGAGAAGGATCCAGGCAGAGTAAATCCATTAATACTATGTGTACACAATGAGAAGAAAGCCCCTGTCTCTCTCCTGCATGCAAAACAAGAGCAGAGAGGCAAGGCAGTCAAGCATCCAGCAAGCATCCTTTGAAATCTCCACGGAGAGGGTACACGTGAAATTAAATATTGAGGGTGTTTTCAGAACAAGAAAAACCCGAGTCAAAGCCACTGGCTGAGAAGAGCGAGCACTCAGAATTAAATTACTAGCTTCCAGCTACAAACTGCATCTGCACATCGGAAATGCTATAACACCTGTATATAGCTGAAGATATATAGGACAGACTTCTGTCAGGAGAAGGACAATTAAAGACCACAGTTTCTCTCAAAAGTGTCCTTGTTGGAAATCGCCCCCCACCCCCTTCTGTGATGCCTCCAATTGCAAGCAGCTATGGGGTGAGTCCTGTCGCACAATCTTTTGTATTCTAATTAGAAATCACCATATGGTTTAAGGAGCTCACATATAGAAATGTGATAGTGCTATGGCCTCTTTTCTTCTCACTTTTTTTTTTTTCAAAGAAGGGTTGATAAATTAACAGTCAATAGAAGAAAATAACTGGTAGAAGAAAGGCCGTTCCAAAAAAAGAAAAAAAAATCAAGTGAAAAATCTAAGTTTCCTCCAATCCTTCATACAAACTTACACAAGATGACCTGCCAATATGCTTAATTTTGACACAAATCAATCTTAACTAATTGTGGAAGTAACTGGCATCTGCTTTAATAGTGTCTTACTGAAAATTAGTCATTAAGACTAAGTTTAAACTAAACAGAATCTTCCTTAGCACATTGCTGGCATTTAACTTATAACCACGGAATTCCTCAACTGTGGCGAACGCAGCAGCTCAGTCCCCACGAAGGGGCCACCCACCTTCCCGGGCCTCAAAAATACTATTTGCTATGGTTGATTCCAGAGGGAATGCTACTTGACTTTCATGAAGCCCTATACGACCTTTAAACTAAGCCGCATTGAAATAACTAAATGACATGACAGAAAGAATGAGTTAAAGAGATAACCATCCAAATTAAATATATATGTATATACATTACATTTGCATTGCATGTGGAGGCCAGATAAAAACTTGTGGGAACTGAGCTTTCTCTTCTTACCGTGTGGGTTCTCAAGGTCAACCTGGATCACAGGGCACAGCAGCACTTTTATCAGCCCGGCAAAGCAAATTGAATGTATCAAAAAACCACAAAGTCAATGTAAATGTCACAATGACTATAAGGATGTTTGGATGTCATCTTGGAATTCATTTAGAACAATTTCTATCATGCAGTGGTGATGCGCGTACACACACACACACGCACACACACACACACACACAGAGTCTTTTCGAGAAGTGGTGTATGTGTTCATGCTTGTGTGTGTGTGTACAGGTACGCAGTGCCTGGATGCTAGAGTTTGACATCAGATGTCCTCCTCAGTTGCTCCCCAGTTGGCTAGAATAATTGACCATGAACTCCAGGGCTCCCTGTCTGAGCCCCCAGCACCGCCCCCTCCAACACTGGATTGTGTCAGTGACTCTGCACCTGGCTTTCATGTGGGTGCTGGGGATCCGAACTCAGGGCCTCATGCATGGCAAGTGTTTTACCAGCTGAGCCATCTCCCCAGCCCTGATAAAAAAAAAAAAAAAAGAAAAGAAAAGTCACAGTACATAGCCCAGGCTGACCTTGAACTTATCTTCCTCCTGCTTCAGCCTCTAGAGTACCTGGTTAATGACCTATTTAAAATTCATTTTATTTTATTTATTTTCCCCCGTGTATATGGGGAGGCACATGTGTGCCACAGCGTGCATGTGGAGATCAAAGGGCTGCCTTGGGGAGTCAGCTTGCCGTGGTCTCTGGGAATTAAACTCAGGCCATCAGGCTTGCGCAGCAACGCTTTTCCTCACTGAGCCATCTCACTGGTCCTAATGACATACTTGTCAAGGCATACAGAACGGAGCAAGCAGAATTGGGGCACAGTTCATTAGCACAGTACCTGCCTAGCAGGGCAAAAACCTGGGTTTAATCACCAGCATCTCAGACACACACATGTATGTACACACACACATACACACAAGAGTCAATTTTTTCCTAACAAGGTTAGTATTTCATGTTGCATTTTATTTTGGTGTTTTGAGGGTCCTGCCACGTAGCCCATGCTGACCTATAACTTGCAATCTTCCTGCCTCTGTCTCCCGAGTGCTAAATCAGAGAACTGTACCCAGTTCATACCCAGCACAAAGCTCTTTTTACTTTAACACCGTCTTATAGGAATTGCTACCCTACCACAAAAAGATACTCTCAAGTTCCAAATTAGAAGACGGTAGTAGAGCTAAGTGCTCCAAAAGCAAAGCATTTCACACAGTGGCCTGTGTGACACGTGACCATTACCATCTCCGCTAACATGCACTTGGCCATAGGAGTAAGTTTTAGTGCTACAGAGGACGGGACCCTCATCTCCATACTGCCTTAAAAGCATGTAGAGTGGGTGGCTACAGCACGTTTTGGTGGTTTTCGACATAACTGGATTGGTATAAAATAAAGGAGAGCAGGAAAGGAATTCCTGCCATAAACAAACATCCCCACATTCCTTAACAGATAACTGCCAGAAAGCCATTTTTTCTATGTATATTATCATGCATGGACATAGGATATGTATGTGCAGGCATGAGTGGACCATGGAGCACACATGGACGCCAGGGAACAGCTCTGTGGATCTGTTCTTTCCTCCCACCTTCACATGGATTTAGGGATCAAAGGCTGGTCATCATGCCTGCCTTGCAAGTGCTTTACCCACTGAGCCATCTTGCCAGTCTGCATTAACTTTTTAAAAGATGAACATTAGAAAAATAGAGGAGCCGGGGAGTGGTGGCGTACACCTTTAGTCCCATCACTCAGGGAGGCAGAGGCAGGTGGATCTCTGTGAGTTCAAGGCCAGCCTGATCTACAGAGCAAGTTCCCCACAGCCAAAGCTACACAGAGAAACCCTGTCTCAAAACAAACAAACAAAACAAAACAAACACCACCAACAACAAAAACTATAAAACAATCAAACAAAATGAAGAGAAAAAAATCAATTACCCATTTATATTAGTCGAAAAGGCTCTGTTGCCTATGGTCCATTTCCAAATCAAATTTAAACAGCTTGGGAGTATGTCTCGCACTTGCCACCCAAACCTTAGATGATTCTAAACTTTGCAGTGCACTGTGAGCGGAGCAGGGAAAGCTATCTTTTGCTGGACCACTCCGTGGGGGTGAGCTTCCTCACTCCGCTCTCGCCTCACCATGGAGGGTCTTTCAGAGACTCAGAACTACGTCACTTAGCTAGTCCAATGCAAAGACATAAATTTTCTGTATGACAGAAGACATAAAGAAGGCATGGCCAAAGGGGGAGCACTACGGCAATATTTATATAAAAATTTATTCCCATCTAAAAATCCCACAGAACAACTGTCAAGGACTCTAAGAAGCTATGTAAAGAGATGGCTCAGTTGGTAAGGAGCCCATCGTTCCTTCTTACCAAGTAATCAACACAAAGAAAAAGCATGCCAAGTGTGGCATTGCAGGCCTGTAATCCCAGCCCTTGGAAGCTGAGGCAAGATGATGGCACTCGGGTTGGGACAGGAAATGGCCCTTGAGGACTCACTATTGGGGTATGCTGCCAGCTGCTGGGCCTCTGATGAGCACATGGACTTCATGGATGGATTAATGCATCAGTGGATTCAAAATAGGACCGAGAGTGAGAACTGTGTTAGGATGTGGGCTTGGCTGGTGAAAGTGGCTCCCACCACCATGGTGTTCTGTTTTACTCTATGGCTAGAAGCAGAAGACTCAAGAACGATGGATAGAAGCCTACAAAGCCACGGCACGAAAATAGGTCTCTCCTCCTTTCAATCATTTCTCTCGGGTATTCGGTCACAGCAAGGTGACGTCCGAGTAGCTCAGTGACTGTGCTGAGAGGTGGCCTGGCCGACTGATCCATTCCTGAAGTCAGAGTTGCTGGGACAGAATCACTCTCTAGATGTCTGTGGGACTGGGAGCCTGGTGCTGGCATGCTAGGATCTCTTTGGATCAGGCAACAAAGGGAGAGCTCAAGTTAGTCTATAACCCTCCCCCTGCCCACAGCAGACCCCTCCTCTAGCTAGACTGTACTTCCTAAAGCTTCGTCGGCCTCCCAGGAGCCAACACTGGGACCAGACACATGAGCTCCCAAGGACATTTTACACTCAGCCTACTCCATCCTAGGTATTGCTTAGAAAATAGTAATGGCTAGCTTCTGGAAGAAGCTTCTCTGTGACACAAAAATGAAAGGAGCCGGAACAGACAGTCAGTGATGGGGAATTTTATTAACTACAGTTAGGCCCATTTACCAGCAGTTTGGGCTTCTGTTGCTGACTTGTTCATTTTTGCATCTCACAAAGTTGACAGGGCTGCTAGCTCCCTGCACCCAAAAGGTGCCAGCAAGACTCTAATAACTGAGCCTAGCTCTTACAGCAGCACCTCATCTTCCCCAAGCTATAATGTCTTCACTAAGAGGGGAAGGGGTCAGGAGTCACCTGCCTTGGTGGCCAGCAATTCCCTTTCCTTCTTCTCTCGAGAGCTGGTTATATTCCCTAAAGACAAGATGACGAGGAAGAGCTTTGTTAAAGTAATTACTTGGAAAGACGGCAGTATGTCACTGCAAGAAGGCCTTGGGAATTTAAACAATCACATCCTTTTGACTTCACTCTCTCTGT